TCCTCCCATACTAAGCGGCATTCGATAGAGCACAATCAAATGTATATTAGATATTATAAACATCTTGGCACAATTGACATACCGGCTGGAAATAAACTTGGATTTTTTAAAAATTTAAAATTTTTAAATTTGATTTTCTCTGAGAAGGGAGGTGCCCTCCTCCCATACTAAGCGGCATTCGATAGAGCACAATCAAATGTATATTAGATATTATAAACATCTTGGCACAATTGACATACCGGCTGGAAATAAACTTGGATTTTTTAAAAATTTAAAAATTTTCAAATTTGATTTTCTCTGAGAAGGGAGGTGCCCTCCTCCCATACTAAGCGGCATTCGATAGAGCACAATCAAATGTATATTAGATATTATAAACATCTTGGCACAATTGACATACCGGCTGGAAATAAACTTGGATTTTTTAAAAATTTAAAATTTTTAAATTTGATTTTCTCTGAGAAGGGAGGTGCCCTCCTCCCATACTAAGCGGCATTCGATAGAGCACAATCAAATGTATATTAGATATTATAAACATCTTGGCACAATTGACATACCGGCTGGAAATAAACTTGGATTTTTTAAAAATTTAAAATTTTTAAATTTGATTTTCTCTGAGAAGGGAGGTGCCCTCCTCCCATACTAAGCGGCATTCGATAGAGCACAATCAAATGTATATTAGATATTATAAACACCTTGGCACAATTGACATACCGGCTGGAAATAAACTTGGATTTTTTAAAAATTTAAAATTTTTAAATTTGATTTTCTCTGAGAAGGGAGGTGCCCTCCTCCCATACTAAGCGGCATTCGATAGAGCACAATCAAATGTATATTAGATATTATAAACATCTTGGCACAATTGACATACCGGCTGGAAATAAACTTGGATTTTTTAAAAATTTAAAAATTTTCAAATTTGATTTTCTCTGAGAAGGGAGGTGCCCTCCTCCCATACTAAGCGGCATTCGATAGAGCACAATCAAATGTATATTAGATATTATAAACATCTTGGCACAATTGACATACCGGCTGGAAATAAACTTGGATTTTTTAAAAATTTAAAATTTTTAAATTTGATTTTCTCTGAGAAGGGAGGTGCCCTCCTCCCATACTAAGCGGCATTCGATAGAGCACAATCAAATGTATATTAGATATTATAAACATCTTGGCACAATTGACATACCGGCTGGAAATAAACTTGGATTTTTTAAAAATTTAAAATTTTTAAATTTGATTTTCTCTGAGAAGGGAGGTGCCCTCCTCCCATACTAAGCGGCATTCGATAGAGCACAATCAAATGTATATTAGATATTATAAACACCTTGGCACAATTGACATACCGGCTGGAAATAAACTTGGATTTTTTAAAAATTTAAAATTTTTAAATTTGATTTTCTCTGAGAAGGGAGGTGCCCTCCTCCCATACTAAGCGGCATTCGATAGAGCACAATCAAATGTATATTAGATATTATAAACACCTTGGCACAATTGACATACCGGCTGGAAATAAACTTGGATTTTTTAAAAATTTAAAATTTTTAAATTTGATTTTCTCTGAGAAGGGAGGTGCCCTCCTCCCATACTAAGCGGCATTCGATAGAGCACAATCAAATGTATATTAGATATTATAAACATCTTGGCACAATTGACATACCGGCTGGAAATAAACTTGGATTTTTTAAAAATTTAAAAATTTTCAAATTTGATTTTCTCTGAGAAGGGAGGTGCCCTCCTCCCATACTATACGGCATTCGATAGAGCACAATCAAATGTATATTAGATATTATAAACATCTTGGCACAATTGACATACCGGCTGGTGTGTGTGGATTGACTTCTTCAAAAGTTGTATTGCCTGGACTTAGTCATGTGTATTTTTTCAATGTGGTTCATTAAAAGTGATTTTTTTCACTGAGCCAAATAATATTCGATGTATATCATATTTGCCATTGTTTCTTTTGAATAACCAATAGTAGATAAATTTGTACAAGGGTGCTGATACAGCCGATCTGTTAAACTAACCTGTCTACAATTATTCTTTAAATAAATAAAAATTTTAGAGTATCAAAAATCGTACAAATAATTTTCTTTCCCTTTTTTATTCATTAATTTATTCATTTCATGCTAAATATATTTAAAATTATATTTAATTTTTTATGCTAATTCTGCTCTCTATTTATTAATATACGGCTTCATCAATCAAAACTATTTTTGTTTTTAATAATTCATGACCACCTATATAAAGTACTTTATAGACAAAAAAACTTTGTTAAAAAGCCAACCACTTTACATAAACTTATATTCTTGTGTTTTATAAAAAGACACACACAATTTTGCATAAATTAGTGCGCAAAAATAGAAAAAAAAATTTCCTTTTATTTTTGACTAGGTTAGTAAATTAGTTAGAAAATGCGCGCAGGTTACAGAAACATTTCTCTGAAACAAAACTTTGAAGCAAAAACTTGAAACAATGTTTAAATTATTTAATTAAACTTGAATTAACCCTCTATTGTATTAGCCTTCTCTCTCTTTATCTCTCATAAAATACTCAAACATTAATTAAACTTGAAACACTTCACAACAACAACAAATAAAACACTTGACAAACTTAAAAATAAGCAAATAAAATTATACTTGAAACAAAAACATAATTTATTTTCCGGAAAACACAGATAAACACACCCCTAATAATTTCCGGAAAACACACAATTCCGGAAAACACAGACAAATACAATTTTAACTAAACTCGTGTTTTACAATTTCAAGTTTTACAAACTAGCTTTACAAATGTTTTGTAAAACATGTTTTTGTTAAACCAAACAACTTGATAATTATAAAACTAAAAACATGAAGCAACTTGAAGCATGTTTCTAATTAAAACTTGAAGCATGTTGTCTCCTTAATTTATTTTCTTTTAATTTTCATTCAAATAATACTAAAATAAAATTTTTTACCCGATATAATAATTAAACCCCAACATATAAATAAAATTTTTTAAAAGAAAAATTAATCAAATTTGGCCTTTATATTAGACAAAAATTAAATTAATTTTCCTTTCTCTGTTAAAAATGCTTTAAAACATTTGTGTGTTTTTAAGGCCAATAAATTATATATAAACAAAATAAAAATAAATAATCCTAGTTAACAATTGTATTGACAAATGGAGACATAATATAAGCCTTTATATGCGCTAACAACAAATAATTTATCTTGTGTCAATTGCAGGAAGGCGCTCTGTGTTTTTTAGTTGAATAAAGCTAAAGGTGTTTCTCTATATTCTCTTATATAAATTCCGGAAAAACACACACAAAAACACACTTATTCCGGAAAAACACACAAATAAATTAACACAAAACACAAACTCATAAACAAATTCCGGAACATGTTTTACAATTGGAAAACATGTTTATAATGTTTTACAATTATTTTTATTTATACAAACATTCTTCTAATAATTTCTGGAAAACACAGACAATTCCGGAAGATGTTTTACAATTGTAAAACATAAGTAGACTTAAAGAATAAACAAACATTGTTTTTAAAAACATGTTCAAGTTTAAAAAAACTTCTAACAAGTTCCGGAAAACATTTCACAAATTCCGGAACATGTTTTACTTTGTATAAATCTTTTCAAAAACATGTTTTATTTTCATCAAACATTTTACAAATCAATTTCTAAATGTTTCCCTTTCCCTATTGTTTCTTTTGTTTAAAACATTCCAAAAACAAATGTTTTTATAATCCCCTTAAAAATATATTTATTGCAAAACTTTGAGTCTCTCCCCCTCTACAAAACTTCTCTTTCCAAAATTTCCAGGCACTTATAAATTTGCCAAATACCAACTATTAGCAAAAAGCTTTTTTAAATGTTTATATTTATTTAAAGTGTGTCTTCCCTCTCATCAGTTCAAAAATCTCTCTTTTTCTTCTTTTAAAAGACACACAAAAATGTGCCAAAAATCGACGACGCTTTATTTGTCACGAATATTCCTTCAAAAAAAATTTCTAAAAAATTTTTTTCTAATTTTTTCTCAATCAAATTGCTTCATTCTTTCATCCTTGACAATATATTTTTCTCAAAAAAATTTTTTTCCTTATCCTAAAAATGGGAAAAAATTGACGACTGGTGTTTTTGGAAGAGATATTTGATCCTTCCTTAAATAAATATTCCTTTCCTTATGCTTCATCTTTTTTTTAATAAAATTTCCTCTCTTAGTGTTTACCTTGTTCATAAATAATATGTAATATACTACCTACTCTCAATTTCACTTATTTATTTTTTACCTTTGCCAATTTTTACTTTTAGGTATAAAAGCTTGCTTTTTTTGAAAAAAATATAAAAAATATTTTACCTGAAGCAAAAAAATATTTTTTTCTGTAATGTTTTTTTTGCTTCTGCTTCAAAATTATACAAGAAAAAAATTTTTTTCTTCCAATTAAAAGCACATTCATTCAAAATAATATTTTTTTCTGCTTTTTACTTTTACTTACATTCCTTAATTTTTCAAAAAAACAATAAATAAAATTTTCTTCCTTCAATTTTTCTTTCCGGTTATAAATAACTAGTAGTTAGCTTGATAAATGACCTTAAAAAATGCCGAAAAAATCTTATAAATAAACCGAAAATTTAATATACCTCAAAACATTGTATTTTTCCGTATTTTTTCTAAACAAGATTATACCTATGCTTTTTAAAAAATTACACACAACAATAAATCAGGAAAAACACAAAAATTCCGGAAAACACAGAAACACAAACAGAAAACACAAACAATTTGAAAAACAGAAAATACACAACAATAAATTCCAGAAAACACAAATCAGATAAAATTCAAGTTCAGAAAACACAAACAATCAGAAAAACACAAAACACAACAATAAATTCTGAGAAACACAAACATACAGAAAAAAAATTCAGAAAAACATTAAAACATTCAGAAATACATTTTCAGAAAAACACAAAATGTTTTGTACTCTTTAAAAACATTCCTATCAATTTTGATGGGAAACATCAATGCTTCAACAACAAAAACAACAACAAAACATTATTTACACAACATTTTCCCAAACAAACATTATTTACAACATTTTTTTAAACAAACACATTTAATTATTAAAACATTGTTTGTTTCACAATTAAACAACATTAATAACAACAAAATTAATAAGCCTATTATATCTTCCCTATTATTATTTTCCTTAATTACTGACAGATTATTTTTATTATTTTATATAATTCTTGCCTTCTCAATAACTAACACCTTATCTGGTATTTCTTAAAAAATATTTTAAAAATTCAAAAAAAATATTTCTAGAAGAAACTCCCCTCGGAGCCCCCACCCTTTTCTTCCACCGCCGCAACGAAGAACGCGACATGGGTGGTGGTGGAGGTTCTTCCAGAAGTGGTGGAACCGGGCACGCATCAGCAGCACTTTTATTAGCAGCAGCTCATCAAACACAGAGGCATAACCGATGCTATTCGTAATTTTTTCAGTTAAAATTTTTTTAACTTAACTCCCCCTCTAGTTGTATGTCCGCCGTCTATGAACAATTATTCAAAGAAGGCGATCTAGGAAAGTTTGTTGAAAAAATTTTCTCCAAAAAAATTTTTTAATTTTCTCTCAAGTTTCTTTTTTGAACCACGCAATTTTACTGCACAATGTGATGAACAACCAATGAATACACATGGAATTGGATTAGTTCCATGTCGAGGAATTTGCCTTTCATTAGCCCAAGAATTTGTTATTATGGGTAGGAAAATTTTTTGAAAAAAAAATTTCAAAAAAATTTTTTTCGGAAAATTTCTAAAAATTTTCAAAAAATTAAAAAAAAAAATTTTCAAAAATTCCCTATAATTTTTTCCCAAATTTCCAGGAAGGAAAACAGGAAAACGTTTATGGATGAGAGGTCTATTTGTTAATAAATAAATTTAAAAAATTTATTTAAGGATGTGCCCATTCCTTATCTAGACATGGCTATATTAATAGAACAATAGCTTTCTTTGCTGAATTTGATATGTGCCGAGAAGTTTTGGCTTCTGAATTATTCCGGCTTTCTTCAAATAATAAAATTGGTGGAAGGTCTGTTGAACATTTTCATGGAGGTGTTGGGTCTTCTTCTTCAGTTGGTGGTGGTAGTGGTGCTGGCGGCCTTATGGATTCACAACCAATTTTGGTAAAAAAATTTTTTGTTTTTTTTTGCCCTTCACATTGTGCCGCTGTCTTTTTTTAATTTGAAAAATTCTTTGAAAAAAAAATTTTTTTTATTCAAACAGGCCTGCAGCTGTCTAGGTGACCGATGCAACACCCAATCATCAGGCTCCATATCCATCGAATCAATTCCCAACAAAATTCTGCTTGCAACAATATTATTATTTTTATTAATTAATCTATTAAAAAATTAATATTTTATAAAATTTTTTTTTCAAAATATTATTAAATTAAATTAATTAAAATTGAAAAAAAATTTTTTTCTCTATTTAATCTTTATGATAAAATAAAAACATTAAAATGGCGGAAAACAAAAAATAAAAGGTAAAACATGTTGCGCAATTAAATATAATAATATTAAATTATAATGGGCGTCCATAAAAAAGAATAAAATATAATAAAATTAACAGGAAAAGGAGAGAATTGAAAAAATACAAATTTGAAAAATGAAAAATACATTTTTAATATTCATTTAATTAATGTTGAGTTTTTAAAGGAAAATGTGTGTTTTCCGGAAGACACAAAAAAGTGTTTTGTTTGTTGAATGCTTATGGAAAAATACAAAGACATGTTTTTAAGAATGTTTTTAAACATGTTTTTATGATAAAAGTTTTTGAAACATGTATTTTCCGGATGTGTTTTCCGGAAAAAAACAAAGATGTTTTTACAAATGTTTTGTTTGAATGGTTACGGAAAAATACAAAAACATGTTTTTAGAAATGTTTTTATAAGATGTTTTAGAAACATGTATTTTCCGGATGTGTTTTCTGGATTTTATAAATGTTTTTACAACACACATGTATTTTCCGGAAAATTAAAAAGAATTTTAAAAAGTAAAACACAAACATATAATAGAGTTGGGAATGAAGAGAGAGGTTAGCAGATATAATAGAGTAAAAAATAATAAGATTAACATATCAATGTAATTTTACGAAACCAATGCTTTTTTGTGGCAAATAAAAAAGAAAAAAAATTTTTCAACAGAGACCGACCGAGAGTGATGGAAAAGAAGATTTGAGAGAAGCCACCTTTGTAGGAAAAAATTAAAAAAAAAAAGAAATATCAAGGAAAGAAAAATGAGAGAGTGTCCAAATCAGTTAGTTTAAGTCTAAAAAAATAATAAATAAAAATCTAAAGATGACACACAAACATTTTGGTGGACGGATAAAAAAAAGAAAGTTTAAAATAGGGTTGGTCCCCGACCCCGACTAACCCCGACCCCGACCCCGAACCCCGACATTTTTTGACCTAAAACCCCGACCCCGACATTCCCAACCCCGAAAACCCCGACCCCCGAAAGTTCGACCCCGACGACCCCGAACCCCGAAAAATTTTTATGCCCCCGACTCAAACTGCATTAATTAACTAGAGATCGGAACGGGATCGGGACTTTGATGCTAAATATATGAAGGAAAAGGGAAAGGAATATTTATATTTTCTCCTGTTTCCCTTTGTTGGTCGATGGTTGAGTGGTTAGGTTAACTGACTTCAGCCATTTAGCTATTTTGATAGGAATTTTGTTCGAATCCAGGGATGGAAATAAGGCTGAGAAAATTTTTCTTCTCAAAAATAAATATTTTTAAACTATGATCTTGATTTTAAATTTGTAAATTTATTTTTTTTAATATTTTAAACTTGAAACAATATTAGAAATTTTAAACTAGTCATGAATTTTCCAAAATTTTCGCCTGCGGCGCAGAAAATTGAAGAAATCTGTCTCTTGGCCTTCCAAAATTCTAAAAATTTTTGCCTGCGGCGCCGAAAATGGAAGAAATCTGGCTCTTGACCTTCCAAAATTCTCAAAATTTTTGCCTGCGGCGCTAGACACAATGAAGGGATACAGAGGCTTTAGGAGAAATTGATGGATAGATGGATTTCTCCCGTTATCCTTGCAACTCCCCGATATCCCGTCAAATCCCTCTAAATCCCATTATATCCATCTTAATCCTCTGATATGCCTTCATATCCCCTCAATCCCCTTACATAAGAGGTGGAGTAAGAGTTACCTTGTGGGTTTGGGGATTTTGGGGATTATGAAGGATAACTTGGATAAAGTACTTCTTGCGCCCTCAACTAATCACGAATTAGATACAGAAAGTGAAGATAATGAAGATTAAGTTGATTTTTTAATAAAAATGTTGATTTTGAACAGTAATTTTGGATAAAAATGCTGGATTTTGTAAATTTTCACTTCAACCCCGACCCCCGACCCCGAACCCCGACATTATTTTCAGCCCCGACCCCGACCCCGAACAAGTTGAGCAACCCCGACCCCGACCCCGACTTTGTCAACCCCGAAAACCCCGACCCCCGACTTTTCCAACCCCGAAGGCTCGGGGACCAACCCTAGTTTAAAATAATAAAATAGAAGTGTAAATATATTGAGAAGAAAAAAAAGAGCTACGCGTAATAATATAAAAATTTTTTTGGAAGGAGGTGAATTTAAAAACTGGCCAAAATTAATTTTAATTTTTTTTGCAACTTAAGGATTTTTTGTTAGGCAAGAAAATTGGGCAAAAAATTTTAAATAAATTTTTTAAGTAAATTTTTCTATCTAAAAATTGTTTAAAAATTGTTGTTATTATTATTAGATGATTGGTGACCACTATTCCCTCCTCCACTACCACTACTACCTCCCTGTTGTTGTTGACTACTATTAAAATGTTTAATATTTTCTAATGGGGTGATCATGTTGAATCTTTAAAAAAATTTTTTTAAGGTTAAAAAATTTCAAAAATTTTAGAAAAATTTTTTAGAAAAAAATTTTTCAAAAAAAAATTTTTACCCTCTAGCAGCAGCAATGGAAGAAGCAGCAGCACTCCCTCCATTTTGTTGAAATGAACGTTGAAAAAAATTTAAAGCAGAATTTCCTATTGACATTTGATTAACCACGTTTGCTGTTGCCATTGCTCCATTATTATTTGAGGCGCTACCTGAGTTTCCTAAGTGCAGAAAAAATTTTTTTAATAAAGATTGAGTAAAGGAAAGGGATAGTAAAGAGAAGAGATTTTTTGGAAATAGTATTTTTGGAAACAGAAAATTCAGAAAAAAAGAAAACAGAATTTTCTCTAGACATTTATGGAGGGACTTGAAGCAAAAACTTGAAGCAAAAATACAAAAAAATTTTGAAGATTTGGAAAAAAATTTTTCTTAATTCTAAAAAATGAAACAACCCTCCTCCCTCACTTTTCCTTAAAAAATTTTTTTCTCCAATCCTGAAGATTCTGTTTCTTTTTTAAATTCTCTTAAAGAAAGCCCCCCAAAACAACTGTTTTCTTACCACCCACCGTTCCCAGCATTTCCACCACTACTACTACTACTAGTACCTCCTGAAAATGGATAGCATCCATATGAACTTAAAGCTGCTGCTGTACTTGCTGCTAATTGTTGTTGTTGTTGCTGTTGTGATTGTTGTTGTTGTTGAGCAGAATGTTGTTGTTGCTGTTGCTGCATTGCATTAGCTGCTGCCATTTGGAATTGCTCGGCTACTTAAAAAATTTTTTTTATTTCTGAAGCAAAAAAGTTTCTGAAGCAAAAAAAATTTCGGAAGCAAAAAATTTTTTTGAAGCAAAAAATTTTTTTGAAGCAAAAGTTTGAAGCAAAACTGCTTACTAAGCGAAAAATCTTGTTGCTGCTGTTGTTGATCAGCAGCATTTGCAGTACTATTATTATTTTGATTTCCACCACTACCACAACCTAATTGACCCAAATGTTGTCCAAGCCCATCAAAAGGATCAAAAGCAGAATCTAAACCAGAAACAGCCATCATTGCAGCATTCCCTGCTGCAGCTGCCAGTTGCTGCGCAGCAGCTGCTGTTGTAGAACCATTTGAAGATGAACAATAACCAACATTTCCAACGTTTTTTCTTTAAGAAAAAAAGTTTTTTCTAATCAAAAAATTTTTTAAAAACAAACGGAAATCGCATATCACTCCTACGATCAGTATGTTTAGTCATATGTTTGTCAAGGTAGAGGGCTTGTGAATAAGATTTTCCACAAAATGGGCAAATATGAACCTTTAAAAAAAGGAAAAAAATATTTTTTTAAAAATTCAATAAATTTTTCCAGAAATTTTTTTAAAAATTTTAAAAAAATTTTATATTCATATTTTACATATTATTATTCACCTTCGCACTTGCCTTAAGATGCTTGCTCTCCTTATGTCGTGGAATATGTTCAAGAAGTGTTTGTTCGTCAGCAAAACATTTGTAACAACTTTAATAAATTTTTTTTAAAGTTTGGAATGTTTGTAAAACATTTAAAACCTGTTGCACTTGTATGGTCTATCAGATTGATGACAACGAGAATGGGATTGTAAATTCGATAACTAAAAAATTACAAATTGTAAAACTTTAGAAACATTGTTTGAAAAACATGTTTGTTTAAGTTGTTTAAAAATGAGAGGGTTATGTTTGAAGTTTATTTAAACATGTTTTTAAATTAATTGTAAACGAACAAAACATGTTTGTTTATGTTTGTTTGAAGATAAACAACTTGTTTTGTTTAGGTTTTAAGTTGTTGTTTGTTTGTTTCTTGTTTATATGTTTTGTATGTTTGTTTTACTAATGTTTGTTTCAAACAAGTTGATTGTACATATAAACATTGAAAACAACATTGTTTAGTAATTGTAAATACATAAACAAAACATGTTTTGTTTAGGCTTTTTGTTTTGTTCCAATTTGTTTTTAAATTTAAACAACCAAACAAACATTGTTTACTAATAAAAACAATCAAACAAACTTGAGAAAATGCCTTCTCACAATTAGCATATTTACATTTATAAGGTTTTTCACCAGTATGTGTACGTATATGTTGTTGTAAATGAGAAAGTTGTGTAAACTAAAAAATTTTCTAATAAAAATTTAAACAATTAACCTTCTTTCCACAAAATTGGCATGGACCAAAAGCTCGAATACCCAAATGAATTCGCATATGTTGACTCAAATAAGAATTATTAGCAAAAGCTTTTGGACAATGAGGACATTTAAATGGTTTTGGTTCTCTTTGATTTCCATCACCGCCACCACCACCTGTACCCGAGGAACTACAAACAACGGCTTCATCAACAGAAGATGCTGATTGACCAATGCTGCTACTAATAACACTGCTACCTCCACTTAATTGTCCAACTGCTGCAGCAAGTTGCTAAAAAAATAATTATTTGTTTGGTTAAAAACATTTTGATTATGTTTGTGTTTTTGTTTGTTTTTAGACGATGTTTTGTTTAGACAATGTTTGTTTGGAAAAATGTTTTAATGTTTGTTTCAATGTTTTTAACTGTTTTAATGTTTTTAAGTGCTTGTTTAGAAACACGTTTGGTAATGGTTATATAAAAATGTTTTGTCAATGTTTGTTTGGAAAAATGTTTTAGATGCTTGTTTAGAAACATGTTTTTAATGATGTTTTGTTTGTTTAATAAATGTATTAATTAAAACACCCATCAGAAACATTGCAAAAACATTTTTCAATAAACCATGATTTAATAAAAACATTAAAAAGAACAACCTGTTGCTGTTGTTGATGCTCCAAAAGTTGTGCTTGCAAAGCTTCAGCAGCAGACATTGCTTGTTGTCTTTGTTTATTATTATGGTGATGTTGTTGTTGCTGCTGTTGATGGTGATGTTGTTGATGATGTTGTGACCTTGGAGATTCAGATGAAGAGGATGATGAAGAACCTGATTGTGGCACCGAACACGTGTTGTTAGCAGCAAAAGAAGAAGCGGCCTGTAGCAGCGAATGGGGAAACATTTTTTTATTTAAGAAAAGTTTTTGTTTTTTAAATTTTTTTAATTTGATGACTTTCTTCTCTCTATATTTTTTTATTTTTTAATTTAATAGGAATTTACTCATTAATTTAAAAAATAATATGAATTTAAAAAAATTCTAGAAGAGCGCATATTAAAATCAAAAATTCTTATATTTACACGAAATAAAGAAAAAAAAATAAAAAATTTATTAAAATGACATTTACAATGCCAAATATTCCTTTTTCTTACTGTTAAAAAATAAAAAAATAGAAAAAATCTTTTGAAAAAAATTTTAAAAGTACAACAGCTGAATTGTACTAGATTAAAAAATTTTTTTTGTGTTTGCCCTTGTATTCTTAAGAATTCAGTTATTTAAAAAAATATTTTTTAAAAAAATAGGAAAAAAATACAATTGAAAATTTGAGTAGTTATAAAAATTGTCAAAAACATAGGGTAGATTAAAAACAATGTTTAAATTAAATGAAAAAATGTGTTTCTCTTTTTTTTTGTTTCGTGCTTTGTGTTTCATGTGTATTTTGTTTATGTGTTTCATGTGTTATGTTTTATGTTTGTGTGTTTTCCGGAAAATTAAAATTTAGCATATGTTTATAAAACACATATAAAACACAAAAGATGTGTTTCATGTTTGAGTGTTCTTAAAAGAAAATATAAAATGTTCGGCTAACTAACAAACTGAAAAAAAAATACAACAACCAATTGAAAAAAACACAAGTTTTGATTAATGTTTTATAGTAAAATAAAACAGTCACTAAACTAAAAAATAAATATATATTTATGATATGAAATACAACCTTGATCAAAAATTTTATTTAATGATAATTTGTTTTTTCGCGCATTTTTTTAATTATAAATGTATATGGTATTTTAAATGTAATCGCTTAATCAAGGTCAATTTATTTATTTTTACTCTCCCATGGTCATTCTGCCATATCAACAAAAATTTGAAAAAAAATCAAAAACATTATAAAATTAAAAAAAATAAAAACAGAAACAAAATCTGAAAGAAAATTCAAAACATTCAAAACAAAACTAAAAACATTCAAAATTAAATTAAAAACACAAAAAACACAAAACATCCAAATAACAAAACACATTTTCTAAAAACTTAAGTTTGAACTTAAAATACAAACAAACAAACAAAATAAAACAAAAACACAAACATCCAACAAACAAAAATACATTTACCAAAACTTAAGCTTGCTCTTAAAAAATAAATAAACAAAACACAGAAACATTCAAAACAAAATAAAACAAAACACAAACTTAAAAACATTAAACTAATAAAAATAGATTTTTCACAAAATACAAACAAAAACATTTAACAAACACAAACACATCTGCAAACTTAAGCTTGAACTTAAATTACAAACAAAACTTAAAAACATTCAAAACAAAACAAAATAAAAACACATGCAAAAACATCCTAACAAAAATACAATTCCAAAATTAAGCTTGAACTTAAAGTTTAATCTAAAAACACAAAGAAACACAAAAACATCAAACTAGCCAAAAAACACATTTTCAAAGATTAAGCTTGAACTTAAAGTATATTTTAAACCTAAAAACTTTTTTCTCAAACTTTTTTATAAATTATAGTCATCAATATAGCTAGAGCAATCGTCGCTTTATTTTTCGTCAAATCACTAAAAGATTTTGTGACAGAATTTTTTTTTTAAAAACAAGTGGCTCTCTTTTCTCTCTGTCATTTTTATTTTTGTTTGTCCTTGGAAAAAATTCCTATTTTTTTTCTTTTTATTTCTTAAAAAATTTTTTTTTCTTCTTTAGATATCTTCTCCCCCAATTCTCTGCCCAAAAGACCGTATACAAAAAATATGAAGAAAAAAAATTTTTTTATTGGAGGAAAAAAAAAATTTTTTTAGAGGGGTGTGCAACAATCTCTTCTTAACTTTTTCGTCCCTTTTTTTCATTGGTTTAATAAGGTAAAAAGAAGAAAATGAAAAAGGAGAAGATGGGGAGGGGGTGAAGGAGGAGGTGAGGTGATGGGGTAAAAAAAGACAGAAGATTGATGATAAAAATAAAAAATATATATTTTATATAAATTAACCAAAAAAATTTTTTTTTCAAAATCCCTTTTTTACACACTCACAAACTTTTTTAATATTTAAAATCACAATTTAGAATAATTTTTAAATTTAAAATTTTAAAGTAAAGCTCAACAGAATTCGTTACAAAAAAATATCCACTCTCCACACTCTCTCCAACCTATTTAAAAAATATTTTTGTTGCAACTTAAAACACAAAAATACACTAAAATTGCGAAAAAAAATATAAAAAATAAAATGGAAAAAGAATTCAACAAAACAACACAAAAATCAAAAATTAAATTTTCAATCTATTAAAAAATAAAAATTTGAAAAACTAGATAGACTAAAAAGATATATAAAAATTTTAAACAATAAAAAATATATATAAATGTTGATAGAGCGAATAAAAAGAAACAAGAAATGAAAAAAGGAGAAAATTTAAAAAAAAATTATATATGAAGGAAAAAAAGAGGCGTGTGTGTGTGTGTAGTTGTGAGCAGCCGATATATACACACACAAGTGGTGGGCGATTGGTTGGTTTTTGATTTAAGAAAATAAAAAAAAATTGACAAAATATATTTTAAAAAAATAAAGAGAAAGAAAAGATTAATTAATAAATATATAGATAATAAAATTCGCAATATTTTTTAATCAAAATTTATCAAAAAAATTTTATAGAGACATTTCGTCCACACGAACAGAAAAGTCATGCCACTTCGGCGCAGTTAAAATTAAAACAAAAACATCAATAAAAAACAATTAAAACAGCAAAAACAACAATTAAAACAACAAGAAAAACACAAACACTCAACAAAACAAAAACAACAAATATAACAGATTAAAACAAAAACAATAACAACATACCAAAAACACAGAAACAAATCAAAACAACAAAAATTAGAACAAAACAACAACAAAAACAACAAATAAAAACAACAAGTAAAACACAAAATAAAACACGAACAATTAAAACATAAAATTAAAACAACAACAACAACAAGGAAAAAATACAAAAACACATAAACACCAAGAAAAGAAATACGAAAATACAAAAACACATAAACTTAATTGTTGTTGTGTTTTTATTAAAAACCTCAAAAATACAAAAATTAGAAACAAAATAACAGAAAAAAATACAAGGAAAATTAAGCCAAAAAATAATCTAGTGCTTAACTAAATTTTAAAACATTTTTAATAAATAAAATTAAAAAATTTTTTTAATGAAAAAATAGTCAAGGAAGTAAAAAATATTTAAAGAGGTAGAAAAGTAGGCGGAGTTTCAAAAGTTAAATTTAAATAAAAAAAAACACAAAAAAATACAAAGAGAGAGAAAGAAACATTTTAAAATAGAGGGAAACACACACACATTTGTTCTTGTAAAAACACCAATAAAAACAACAAACACACAAATTTAATTTTGTTGCCTTGTTGGGTGTTTATATATAAAAATGTTTAAATGTGTATGACACTAATAAAATGAGATTTTAAAATTTTTATTACTTCTTTTTAAAAAAATCACAAAAATATATACACTTTCCTTATGACATTTTTAATTGTACCAAAATTTAAAAAAAATATTTAAAAATTAAAAAGAAATTTTTTTGAATTAAAAAATGACTAAATGCAAAGGTCTAAAATTAAGGGTATTTAAAATTACAAATCCACGTCCAAGATCACTAGCTGTCATATAAAGGATGTAAATATTCAAGAAAGAAAAAAAAAGAAAAAAATAGAAAAAGGATGCAACTATTAAACCAATAAAAATAAAAACCTAAACCCGAAAAAACCAAAAAAACTTTCAAAAAAATTTTTCAAGTACAAAATCGTTTGCTTTAAAAATACAAAAATAAAATTATAAAATATTTTTTTTAATCAAAATATTTTTTTATTTAACTAATTTTTACAATACAACACACAATTTTACAATCCAATTTTACAATTATCCCCTCTCGTCAATACCTAAGTATAACAAAAAAAATTTTCAATCTTTAATCTTAAAGCATACAACAAAAAATTTTCCCTCTCTATTTAAAATACTTCCGCACCACAAAAAATAACTTCTTTTTTCGTATGTCTTTAAACCAAAAATGGTATTTAGAAAAAATAGCTATAAAAATTAAATAAATATCCCTCCCTTCCAACTTCCCTCCCTTCCCCTTCTTCACTCTTCCCCCTCCCGCTCCCCCTTCTCTCTCCAAATCACTTTTCTTTAAAGAAAATATATTTTCTCCCCAAATATTTTTTATTCAAAAAATTTTTCTAATCACACAACCAGTTTTATATATTTTTTTATCATTTTTAATATGTGAAGCAAAAATGAAAAATTTTGCGAATATTAACGCAGAAATTGATAAATTTTTATTTTAATAAAACTAAAAATATAGCAAAAGAAAAGATAGACCATAGAATGAAATTTTTTTTTAAATTAAAAAAAAAATAAAAATTAAACAGAAAATTAATAAAAATAAGAATAAATTAAGATTGGTATACAGGACATTTTTGTAATTAAATAGAGTTGGATTTGTGGATTTTGTTAATTTTTTCTCTCAATGATTCCAAGTTGATTTCAACGGAGAGGAATCTAGAGTGAGAGTTTATTAGTCGGTAAAAAATTTTTTCCGTTGATTTTTTAAAAAATCCTTGAGATTCGAGTTAAAGTCAACAATGAATCAACAGCAGAAAAAAAACGATTTTTGAGATTTAAAATATATATATAAGTATAGAGGGAAAAAATTTTTTTAATTCCACAAAAAAAATTTAGAAAAAAAGAGAAACGTAAAACGTTTTTAAAAAAAACCCTCCCAACTGTTGATAAATTAAAGCAAGAAAAAACACTTGATGCTATGAAAATAGTTCAAAAATTAATTTTTCAAAAAGGAAAGATAAACTTTAGTTTTTGGTCAAAAGATTATTTAGTATTAAGTAGCAGGGTAATTAGGCGCAGCAAAAACAAAAACTACAGAAGAAGAAACAAAAGAAAATACAAATTGTAAAACATGTTGGAGAAAGTTTTTAAAACAAATAAACGAGAGTTGTAAAACAAATAGAAAAAACATTTGACAAGTTGAAAAACAAGAAACAAGTTGAATTAAAAGCAAGTTGTAAAACAAGTTGTAAAACAAGTTGGATTAAAAGTACAAATTGTAAAAATAAGCTGTAAAACAAATTAAAAAAATACAAAAGAAAAAAGTTGAAATACAAAAAGAAATACAAAAATACAAAAAAGAAAATACAAAAATACAAAAAGAAAATACAAAAGAAAATACAAGCGGCAAGAGAGAGACAGATAAATTTTATAAAAGCTACTACATGTACCTCAATGATAAAATATTTTTAAAAATTCACAATTTAACACAAAAAAAGTGCTTAAACAAACAAAAAAACTGTACAAAAAATATTTATCTAAAAAATTATTGGGGGCACACAAACAAAAAATAATTAAAGTCGTGTAGCAGTAGTGGTAAGAGGGGGTAAGTGTAACGGTGATAAACACCCAACCACTAATATATTTTCAAAAAAAAACTACGGTAAATTGGAGAGGAAAGCTTCAATGAAAAGGAAAAAAATTAAGAGAAGGAAAGGGGGAAGTTGTTGGTTATTTCCCCTCCTTTTTTGTATGTGTGCGCGACACAAGACATTTATTTATATTTTTATCAAGGCTGGCAGCAGAAGGAAAGAAGGAAAAAACAAAATTATTATTATTATTAAAAGTAGAAAGAGACACGTTCGTGGTTAGTTAGTGGTTATTATTACCTATTTAAAGGTAAAAAAATTAAAAAAATAAAAGCAATGGCACGAACAATGGCACGGAAAAAAACTAAGCAATGAAGGGAAGAAGAAATTATGGTGAGTGTTTTTAATATAAGAAATTACAAAAAAATAATAAGAATGTTAATTAATAAATGAATAAAATGTAAATTAAGTAGTAGGAAAATTAAAGGGTAAAATAATAATAATATTATTGAAGCAAAACTTAAATGTTTGTTTTGAATATAAAAATTGTAAAAACAAGAGAGTTGTAAAAACAACAAGAGAGTGTTGTAAAACTTAAAAGAGAATTAAGTTGGAAAAACAAGTTGTAAAAACAAGTTGGAAAAACAAAAAAAGAACAAACAATTCAACAAAAATAAACTTGAACCAAAACAACACCACAACAAGTTTCGAACAAGTTTTACAATTTTAAAATGAAAACAATATTTGGAAACAACAAAAACATTCTGTTATTAAAAAAGAAGAGTTGTTTAATTGTAAAATGTTGTTCTTTTTGTTTTTCCAACTTGTTTTACAATTACTTTTATTGTTTTACAATTCCCTTTTGTTTTAAAAGAAAATTGTATTAAACACAAAGTAATGCTTCTAGTTTTTAAAAATTTAGAAGCAAAAAAAAATACTGTAAAGCAGAAAGGAAATATTTTTCCTTTTATCCGTTGAAGATATTAATAATGCATTAATTGGAAAATGTTCGCGCATATTTTTCCTTTTTTAATATTTTTATATATGGCAGCAGACTATTAAGTATATATTTAATAATATGCCTGAAATATATCCATTTTAGTCCCTTATAAAAATAAAAAAATTAAAAAAAAAATTAATAAAAAAATTTAAAAAAAAGGTTAAATGGTTTTGGAACAAAAAAAAAACATTTTTTAATATCCAGCCATGTACTAGCTGTTTTTTTAAATAAGAAAAAAAAGATAAAAAAGGCAATTTTTATAAAAGCTTTAATAGGGGAAACATTTTTAGATAAATAAAAAAATTATTTTTAATAGTCAAAAAATTTCCCTCAAATAAGAACGGAAGTAATTGAACGAGTGAATTTATAAAATAAAAATAGAAAAATAGAAAATTTTCAAAAAAAAATTTTTTTGAAAAAATAAATAAAAAAAATTTTTTTAATGTTGTTGCAACAATTAAAGAAATATTCTCCCCTTTAGAAAAAAATAATAAATAAATTCTTTAATAAAAAAAATAAAAAATTATCAAATTTATTGCTTCATTAACCAATTATAGCTTCATAAATTTGTATTTTCCAAGGTTAATTAATTTTACCAAAAAAATTATATAAACCCGGAACTTTTCTTTCCAGCAAACCAAAAAAATCCCCTACTCAAAAAATAGTTGTTTTATCTATCCAGTTTTTTTTTTGAAAAATAAAAAATAAAACAAAAAAAAATAAAATAAAAAATAGCTAGCTAAGCTTCTAGAGTAGCAGCTCTTTTCTTGTTTCATTGAAAAAAACCTCCCTTTCCCCCAAACAAAAAATGGGAGGAGATAAAAAAATAGAAAGGATGGTGGAAAGAACGGTGGAAATAACAAAAAAATTTTTTTTTCAAGAGAAAATAGTAGTAGAAGAAACAGAAAGAAGGAAAGGAGAGGTCGTCGACGTCCGTCTTCGCTGTCGTCTTTAACTACCTTGTCTCTCTGCTTTCCCCCATTTTTTTATTAATAGTGGTTGGTTGGAGAGAGGGGTTGGTTGGTTAGTTGTTGGGTTTTCTTCCTTGTTTGTCACACACACACACACACACACAAACACAAAAATAAAAACTGGCTGGTTATACACTCAAAAAATACAAAAAATATACGATATAGAGAGAGAAGCATTTAAGAAAAATAGTAGATAGAGATGTTTTTTCGCCCTTTTTTGCTGACAGCCGTTTTTTCCTTGCTTGTGTTCTCTCATCCATTTTTAAGAGAAAAGTCTGTCATGTCACTAACAAAAAATACCCCTCGAAGCAAAACTAACTAACGACTACGACGACTAAAAGTATTGATTAGTGGCGCACAGACTTTTTTTAAAAAATAAAAAATATTGAAATTACTTGAGCATATACTGGAAATTAAGAAAATTTAAAAAAAAATTTGAAAAAAAAATTTTTTGAAAAAAAATTAAAAAGAATTAAAAATGTAGCGAAAATAAGCTTCAGAAAAGTTTCAGGCTTCAGAAAAATATTTAGAAATGTTTTAGAAACAATGTTGAAATGAAATTCTGAAAATGTTTCCAGGAAAAAATAAAAAACAATGAAGAACACGAGTTTATCAAAAAAGTATTAAAACATGTTTTGGCAGAAAATTAGAGAAACATTATTAAAAAATCAGAAAAAATATGTTTGTAAAAATCAGAAAAACATGTTTTGCAAAAAAAAAGAGAAACATCAGAATTGTTTGTGTTTTGAACAAATCAGAAAAATGTTTTGAATGTTTTGAAGAAATCAGAAAAACATGCTTATAAAAAAATTAAAAAACATTAAGCTAAAAATTTTTTTAAATTAAATAGAGAAGAATAAATTTTTTAAAAATTGTTTGAAATTGCTAACAAAAAAATAAATATGTTAATTTAAATAAATTATTTTTTAAACCCAATTTCCCTTTGTCCCAAAAATTAATTTAAAAAAACAGACAAAGAAATATTTGAAAAAATATATATTTCAGTTCAAAATTTTTTTAAAAAAATTAGAAAAAGAAGAACAAAGAAATTTTTTATAGAAGCACTCAAAGCGCGTCGCTTTTCCGATAATTTAAAATAAAATAAAGAAGGGCGTGTCTGCTACTATATGTAACTAACAATGTACTTTTTGTTTAAAAGTTCAGATTGGTTAGAGAAAAAACATTGAGAAAATACAAAGAAAAAATAAATTTTCAGAATATTTACAAAACAAAATAAAAATCAGAAAAACACGATGTTTTTCTGATATACTTATGAATTTTGAACAAAATAAAAATCAGAAAAACACGATGTTTTTCTGATATACTTATGAATTTTGAACAAAATAAAAATCAGAAAAACATGATGTTTTGATGTTTTTCTGATAAACCTCTATAAATTCTGAAAAATTTCCTACGTTTAAAAACACAAACATTTTTTCATCAGAATTTTATTTAAACAAAACCAAAAACTAACCATTTGCTGTAAACTTGTTGTTGTTTTTGTTGGATGTTTTTCTAACACAATGTTTAGAAATGTTTTTGCCCTTTTTCTCTAACATTATAAAACAAACAGTATTTTTAACATGTTAAAGATAAAAAATTTTCTTTTATAAATGGCCGCCTTTTTTTC